ATGAGGGAATGGAAGACGATGGAATTGGTACAGGAAGACCATTGTCGTGCAGTTTTCGTGGCCACAACACTGCGCTGATCATCAAAAACGCTTCAAATAAGGCCCTCTGGAACGGACTTAGGATTCGAAAGGAAGGATAGTGTTCTAGTACATTGTGAGGTGCACAGGATCGTGACCTTCTGACATTTTCACTAATAGAAAGCTTGAAGACGCCAAGGCCGCGTTCATGCCTTACGAATCGGGAAATGCTGCAATTTCAGAGGCTCCGCCATTTGAGAGATTGTGCGGCGAGGAAAGTATAGGTATCGATCTGGTGACTGCGGAAATTGAGCGATCCGACGATTTGGGAGACTAGGCATTTCGGGCGATTTCGCGTTATTGGAGTGGATAGGTAGCGATCGACGGTGGCTGGTACGAAGATTCGGCATTTTGGGCGACTACGCCCCAGGAATGTGGATGTCATCGGTCGGCGTCGTCGCTAGCGATTTTAGAGATTCTGCGATCCGCTGCCGGGCACTAACGATTGTGAGGGTTTGACGGTCCGTTCGTTTTGGGATGAATGGAGGAAAAATCATGCACTCCTTATCCCTGCCACGGAGTAGCTGTGGTATCTTGACACGGCATATGATGGGTTACTCGTGGGTAAGCTTGAGACATCTGTCACGCTGTTCTGTATCTGACCAAGACATGAGAACATTCGTCTTGAAATGAAAGCATCTCACCAAAAGTACAAACGCCGCCACGTTCGGTTGAAGTACGCAGTCACGCCTATTGCACCTCGACGATTTCGGGTGAATCTCCTGTTCACCAGCGCCTATCGATACCCATCCACCCCTCGAAACGCCGAATCTTCCAAATCGCCGAATCGCCCCATATCCCAAACCGACCGGCTACCGGGTTTCTCTAATCACCGTATCGCTCATTCTCCCCATTCGTTGGATCACCGAACCTTCGATCGCTAGCGAACGAATCGATACCCAGATCGACCGATCGCTCAGTTTCCGTAGTCGTGAAATGGGGATCGTGTCGAGTAGCTTAGTTTCGCAGAAAGCCGATTCTTCCAAAGGGCGCCAATAGATAAGTATGCTTGCCATTTTGCTCGAAAACGTGAATATCTCCAAAACTCCGAGCCTCCCGGATTTGAAATTATGAACGAGGCTCAAGGATTTTGACTTGGCCCCTACCCCTTATTACGAGTGCGCTGCCCACTGCATGTTTTGTGCTGCCTCGCCCGCCAAACAGACGCAATGAAACTCTCGCAGATGATTCTCCTTTTGTACTTGTTTTTACCATGAACGGGTGAATTCTGTTTTTAACCGTAAAGGGGTAAATTCTACAACACAGCCCTAATTTGCAATCTTTTCAGTTCAAAAATGCCTCTGTCTGCTTGTTCGTGTTCGACATCCTCCGATATAATGACGAAGATCTGACGACAAAGTAGGTTTCTTGCAAATCACTTTGGTGGAGCTAGCGTTTGCCATCCGTGGGTAGTGGGGCACAAAAGGAGTGTCAAGCGCTGGGTAGGTCGATAGGGAAGAAAAACCAGAACAAAACCCTGAAAATGTTTGAAATAAGTGTAATCATTAGAGGAACATACGGCGAGACAGTGAGCGTGGAATAGAAAAGCACATAACGAGGGAGTACGTAAATGATATAGACAGTTCTACAGCGATGGTTGAACAACATGGGAAAGATGGAGATCATTAACGGCAGAGCGGAAATGATAACGCGATGTTGAGTGCTGGCGCTGTTGTCAGGCGATTCCGAGGGTAGTGATGCGTCCTCGCTACCGCACGGCCAGGCACGCGCCTGACTATGACCCGACGCGCTAATTGCCTGCGCTCTCTCAAATACGGTTGTTCTCTAGCTCTGAGTGCGTGTTCGCTGTGGGACTGGTATGGGCGCAAGTGCCGGAGCTTGAGGGTAGCGCGACGGAGTCTCAAACAGCACCCGGGTGTCACTACTCTTCAACCTAATTTCCGCGCGCCCTCAAGTGACGAAAGGGTTACTCTTGTACAGCTGCCAATCGCTTCTTCCCACCTTTGACAGGTATCACCGTCCTTATAGATGAGAGCGCAGTTTGTCTCCATAAAGAAGGAGGGCTAGAGGGAGCCCTAGTTCGTTTTGGGCGCAGTTTGGCGACGGCGACGGGGGAGGGGGGAAAGAAGCGTTCCACCTTTTGCTATTTCAACGTTTCAACCATCTAAATAGCTATTTCATGAGCTCACAAGAGTTGACAGGTTTTGCCATGGTAGTTCGACGAGCTTCCTCCAGCTTCACAGGTTTCATCAGAATGAGACTTGCGAAACGGAATAAGTGAAGCAACAAAAGTGCCCCCCCCCCCCTCCGACACCGAACTGCCCCTCGCTTTGTCTTCCAAGGTTTGAGGAAGTTTCTGAGTCTCGATAAAAGTCTCTAATTTTGCTTTCTCATTGACGCGCCCTCTCTTCAAGTTGTGAGGGTATAAAGGGGTAGAGTAGCAATAAGAATGGCACTATGGCAGATCCGGTCCCGCCATATGTGTCTCTAAGTTTGGTGTACAACTGGCGCAGATCGGATTGCTGGGGGCATTTTGCTGGATCCCATCAATCATTGCTGCTTTCACCAAGGACCTGTAAACTGGGGCAGTACGCAGTATAAAGCTATGCAGTAGCAGGAGCTCCGCTTACAGTTGGGAAGCGGCTTCAGATTTCACGAGTGTGTAACGTGTAAATCAGCAGAAACTAGCAAGAAAAACTAGCGGAAGTGCCCCTCCCAAGCCAAAAAGTGCCCAAGCCTTATCAGTGCAATCACTTCTACTCAATATTGGAACTGTCCGATCCGTTTTCGTTGCTTCATCCCTACTATCTCTCAGGGCGTTGGTCTATCGGAAAAAGCTTCTGGAAGCTCCAAATGTCGGAGATTGAGCATCGCGTCATGATGTCGAATTATCAACTTATACGTCATGGGGTTAGTTTTGTCTTCAATTGTTCCGCAACAGACAGTACTTGTTTGAATTTATTACTCTTGTATCTTTTTGGTGTATTTCTCTCTTTAACCCCTATTTGCATCGTTTACGCTAGCGGGGGCGGAGTCAAGGCCTGCATTTGTGCCTTTTCTCTTGGCGCTTCCTCCCCCTTATCGTGTAAAGAATGAGGGGTGCACTAATGGCGGAGGCGCAGTGTATGTCTAAACCCGCCTGCACGATCACTGTGACCCAAACCTCCGAGCTCAAGAGTAGAAAACGTTTCTCCCTCCAGGATCACGACACCTTGAAAACGATGATCTGGAAGGCGATTGATGAGGGCCTCGAGGGACTGGTGCTAAAGGTCAGTGTTTTCTCTGAGATTTTCACCTTCAAGATTTAATTTCTTGGCGGAGTTCGGCTTGGCGGGGCACCGAATGGCGCTCAGCTTCCACAGGCTACCTTGTAAAAACCTGTGACTTCCTGTGACTAAAGGGGCTCACTCGCCCCATTTTACAGCTTCACAGGATTTCGCAGGTCTAAACAGAGAGAGACCTTGTTATGTGACATAAACTAACCAATGGCACTAGTGAAAGTGCAAGCCCCTCCAAGCCGAACAGTACCCTTTTTTTCATTGAATGTATCTACTTGATGGATAGGCTTCATTTAGGATATTGAATCAACTTACGAACCAGGAAAGCGTCATTGGCTTAAGGTGAAGAAAGGACTATTTGGAGCAAGGCCGAATGGCTGATACCGCCGATCTCATCGTTCTTGGTGCCTATTTTGGTACTGGCAGTAAAGGTAGAGATTTTTGAAGGGTTAAAAGAGGAATTTCGTTTTTTTTGCCTGGGGATGCACTCCACCTTGGTCGGAGCCAAAGCAATCTTTGTGACATCTCCATAGAAACCCCCTATGACACAATTAAGGGCCTTGCCCCGCCCACGGTTAGCGTAGAATGTGGTTCAAGTAAGAAGTGTTGAGCAGAACAGAAATAATGCGTGGAACTTTCCAACTCTATAATCAGTGCCAATCAGGCTGCTTTCAGACTTGGCGATGACGCGCTTCGTACCGCAACTACGCCGTGCGTCATCACGAAGTCTAAACGCAGCGTAAGGTGAAGTTCATTTAGGTGGCATGATGTCAGTGTTCCTCATGGGTGTGTACGACGAGGACACGAAATCTTATCGAACGGTCACCAAATGTGGCAACGGACACACAGACGACGCCCTTGAAGCTATAAATAAGAAGCTCAAAGATCAGGTGAGTCGGGGGTGGTATTCAGCTTGCTCGGGTTGGCACATACGAGTTACGTGGTGTGGTGGTAGCTAAGTTGTAAATGACATCGCTTGTGCGGCATTCGCATCAGGTCCTTACGAACCTGCGCGCGGAGGTGCTATTCGAAGGCTGGGGGAACCTCGTGTTGCATTTGACCGCAACTACAGGGGGGCCAAAAAAAAAGTCATTTTGCCTCCATGACTTTCAAGGCGCTATAAGTTACACTTTATTAAATTTTTATCGGACATTTTTACTACCATATTAAAGAGCACATTAAATACTATAAGAATACTCCGCCACAGCCTTCTGGAGGAGCGCCATCGAGAGATTCTGGCACGCGACCGCGATGTGGTACCTGAGATCAGCGGGGTAGTCGATTTCTCCGCCACCGTAGACCACCCTCTTGAAGTCCGCCCGAACTAGGTAATTGAGTGGGTTCAGGTCAGGGGACATACTTCAATATTACATCTTCATCAGGTACGAAACGCCCTTCCATTCGAAGTAGGCGGGAGTTTTTCCAAAACCCTTCGATTCCATGTGGTGGCACCCAAACCTGTAGCAGCACAAGGTCTCCAAGAAGGTACGGGCGACCACATGTAGGGAGGATATCCTTCTCGAGTTACTTGATGTAACCGCCAGCGCTCACCTTCCATCCGCGGATCTACAAAGAAAATATCCGGTCGATTCGGGCCCATTCAGGACGGCCTGTCCACACCATCAACTCGACGCGCCCTTGACGTGAATGATGGCGTAGAGATGATGACTCACATGTTACCTGGCACCGGTAGCGGACTGTTGCCGGAGCTGCCCGATGTTTCTGTAGTCTTGCAGTCAAGCAGTACGGGTCTCCCGGGTTACTAATCTCCATGCGTGGATTCCATACAGACTTCCGCAGTGTTTTGGACGGGCCACGCTGTCGAATTCCAAAGGCGTTTCTCACCCAGGTCGCGACTGGGATGACTGATCATATTTTGGATGTACCATGCAACGAGGTGAAATGGCGGCAGCGGTCCCTGACTATATAGGAGGAAAGGTCTTGGGGTCGTCTCCGCTGGTATCTCATATCCACTCCTCTGTCGTGGGGTGGCGAAAACTTCGCTCAATGTGTACTCGGCTCGAATCGCCTCGGAATGATTTCTCTCTCTGCACATTATCTTGAACGCTGCAGACGAGTAGTGGGGTCACAACACTCAGTAGCACAAAATTGTAAGATTAATGAGATGGTGTGGTACCCCCTTAAAATAGGAACCGAAAAAGTCACGAAAACCCAAAGTTATTAATTCTCGCACAGGTCGTCAGCAGACTAACTGCTGTCTGGTGTGCACCTGTCATCAGTTGTCAAACGACGGAGGTCGCCAAACCGCGGACCTCTCCTGAACCCACCCTCCCAGCACCCCTGCTTGTCTAATTAGCGCTCTTTTCGGTTGCTCTCTTGTCTGGCTCGCGCCCTTTGTCAAAATCTTAGATGCAGAACCGTTCATTAGAAATGGTTCCCCATCTCCCGTCTCTAGATGTCGTAGCCCTGATTGCCTACTCAAGACAATCATAGGGATTAGCGTAGTTCCTCATGCTTCCAAAAATAACAGATGGAGCGATAGGCTGCCCTGTTTGTGAAGAGTTTGCTGCCGACCGCCACCTGGCTGACATCTAACAGCCCAGCGGGTCTACCTTTTAACGCGATTGCCTACGAAGACACTATTATTCTGATACTGTTCTTCTCATTTCAAATGTTTTTAGGGCAGCGTTGAATGGGAACAATGCGGATCCAGCAACAGAGAGAACTCGTCCGACCACGCTCTCCTCTCACCCTATGCCCTCAGGTTCGCGCTCGAGTTCCTGTACTGCAGAAGATTTTGCCATGGCTGTTTTACTTCCTTGCTTTCTTCCCGCTGGAATCACTGGCTGCCTTGTTTACTATACCGATTGCTTAACTCTTCATTGCTGGAACGTAAGGCTCGCGTTTGAGGAAAAGTTTTGATGGTTATATTTGCCTTTAAGATGACTCGTATCGACCGCGACTATGACCGTCTACCGAAGTGGCTGCATTGTTCTCGAAGTCTCGTGCCAGATTTTGTAATTAAAGACCCTCAAGAGGCTCCAGTCTGGGAAATTACAGGTAACTTCTGGAGAGTTACAAATAGATTTAAAATATTGCTATTGTATGCGCAAAGACACTAGAAACGCAAAACTTGCTGAGGTATTCGTGAGAATTGAAGGCACAGTTCACGTGGATCGTGTAGGCGGAGACAGCCACTAACGCTGTGCTCACTGGTGCATCCCTGCTGACGTAGTGAAGAGAAGCGAAGCAGCAGTGAGTAAAGCAGTGGTCGACTGTCTCCGCCCATGCGGTGAAAGCGAACTGGAAAACATGAATTCGGAGATTTCTCTTTTTACCAGTACGAAGGGTGCATCAATGAGGAAGGCACAGTGGTAGGCCTATTTGGCCTATACAGTCAGCATACACTGTGCCTTCGATCGTGTTTACCGTATGTTGAAAACTGACCGTCCTCCTTTCTTGGTACTGTGTGCTATTTTTACTTTTTTTGCGTTCTAGCTATTAGTTTAACGTGCGGTGCTCTAGCGCTCCCCCCCCCCCTTTTCAGGTAAATGAAAGGTGTTAGGAGTTATCTAATAAACGGAGAGTGCTCCTGATGTAATGAACACCTTTCAGGAGCAGAGTTCTCCAAATCAGAAAACCATTCCGCTGGTGGTATTTCCATCCGCTTCCCACGGGTGACGCGTATTCGAAATGATAAGGATTGGAAGAGTGCTACCAATCTGGCGGAGTTGAAGGTTGTCTTTGAGCCTACTGTAATGAAAGACCCTTGGGTCGGAAATGCTCCTCTTATAAGGTAATCCGTTGCTTTCAGAAGCTGTATGAGTGCTCGAAAACGAAAACCGATTTTGATCGTTCGACGGAAGACGAAACTCCATTGTATGTAAAAGAAGGCATGGATCATGGCGATGTAGAGGAAATGGTTGCGGAATCCGTTGAAGCCCTTATTGAGACTTCTGGAACAGGCAAGAGGAAGCATAAGGAGGAGAATGAGGAGAATGAACCTGAAACTGTAGAGGCTAAAAAGCCGAAAACGGAAGAAGCGGAAGAAGATGCTGAGCAATGCCCGCCCGGAAAAACGCCATGCAAGTAGGTACCACTGTTGATAGTTTGTAGAAGTTGTGCTGTAGGCATTGAGCGATTATTAGGGAATGTCTGAAAGTTTCCTTCAAAGCATGTAGTCTTTCATGTGGATTACAGTACACGTCAGCATATTCGGCATAGTTCGGCTTGATGGGGGGGGGGGGCATTTCGATGGTTTCCATTGATAACAGCCGATGCCTCCTTGGAGACCTGTAAATTCCTGATGACTTTTGCAAGAAGGATCATCGTTTACATTTGACGAGAGTCTATAAATCTTACCATGATCTGATTGTACCTTAACAAGCGCTAGAATAAGGAACTGGCGAAAGTGCAAAATACCCCTCCCAACCCGAACAACGCCGCATATTCTTCATCGATGGGCATAGATGAGGCACTCAAGAACAGCGCGGTGCCAGAACAAGTCCGGACCAAGTTTCGTGGAGTTCAACTGAACCTTTCATACTTATAGTGCCTGTAAGGTGGAAATATGCAGGTTATCATTCCCTTCCGGGACCACGGTAGAATGGGTGAAATGTTCGTGCCAGTTCGACCTTTCCCTTCCCGTGCTTACTCTTCCAGTGCGACCTCCCTTTTCCCAATTACCTACAATCTCCCAAGGGTTATTTTTTTTCCGAAATGCTGGTGTTCAGTAGGCAGGGAGGAGGGGGAAAGTCGCCTCTAATAAACTGTCAGAGAGGTTCCATAGACATCGACCACATAGGAGAGCGGAGGGAAGGAGGACCAGCGCAGGTGGCGAGAAAATTTACGAAAAGTCAGCCCGAACAAAACTTTTTAGCAGCTCGGAACAATTTCTATCGAAGTATAATACGACCTCCTCTGACCAAAGAAGACCCTTTTCCTAGCGACCAAGTCCACCTCCACCACATCCCTCCCCGCCCCCCCCTTCATGCGTTTTGCTTCCATTCAGTATCGCAGTGACATTCAGTGTGGCGGTGTAAGCTAGTCTTTCAGACTTGTCTGGGACTTACTGTCCTCTCAGAACGGTTTAACACCAATTAAACATCTGGGCGGGTTAAAAGTCGTGATTGACGTGGCGGAAGTGGATCTGGGTTCTGTTGTGATGACGGGTGAGTAAAAAAATTTTTCATTTCCCTCCCTCTCCGAACCACCTCCAGCATCAATGAGCGGCAGCAGGAAGGGCAGGAGAGAACTCGGATCAACCATCAAAATGCGATCAATAATCGAAAATAGTGAGAGTGAATTGCCAGCTGGGATCGTGTGCGCAGTAGCGACATTACTGACTTCGCCAAAAGTAAGGGCGCTTTCATATTCGCGATCCGATCGCGAATTATGAACATGTTCCACAGTAGATGAGGTGACACGTTATACGAAACCAGCAGCGCCATCTCGGCTTTAGACTGAGTCGTTTGAACAGCTTCTTCGCTCAATTTCTGGATTACGGTAGCGGCTGCTCATCGGTGTAATGTTCAGATATGGCGCCGAGTGTTACCGTAAAAACAAGGATCATAAAGAAGAGTTCTGGCATCCACCGAAATAATCTACTGAAATGTAAGATTGCTGATCGCTGCTATTGTTTTGCTCTTACCTGTCTGTTAGGTAGAAAGCATCGCCCACTCGGGGACTCGAACCGCGGCCTGTGCTTTCCAAGCAGTATGCTTATCCGCCATGTCACAGACGTATCTAAACAGAACTACTTTGGTCGCCAAAAGCTGCAGTTGAGTTGGTTATTCCATGCCTAAATCAACCCACCTCTCAAATGGCCTTCGTCATCCGCTCTGCTCTGTTCGGTTTGGTGGGAGAGGGGAGTTGCTAGTGCCCACCGATCACTGCCGAAACCTCCTGTAGAAACCTATGAATTCCTGTAACGCAATGTATTAACATGAGATATTTACGACTGACGAGAGCGTACAGGTCACACCAAGGTGAGACCTGTATTGACAGGTATTATTCAAAGGAAAAGGAACAAGCAAAAGCAGAATGTCCCTCTCACCATCATTCCGAAACAGGGACATCCATTGACCCTGAGGAATGTGATAGCCAAATAGATTTGAGATTTTGATTGTCTGTCCTCGTATTATATTGTACTATTTCAGGTCAG